TTTCCATGACCCCACATCCACTTTGATCTCCGGTTCTCTCGCTCATAAGGGAAACATGCGAATAAATATAATCATGCAGTGTGTTTTGATTAGAGGCCATTGAAGAATGTTTATTTCATGAACATCCAAGAATTTCGGGAAGGAAGTGTTGGAGATTCAGTGTATTTTGAAAGTCAGTGAACGAAAAATCTTTAATATGAGTTCCATAAAGACAGGAAACAAAAAAGATCATCAGAAGATGCGCATACGCGCATTTCCGGTGAGTATTTAGAAGATTGTTGATACTGTCTGCAGAGATGAGTGCCTGACCTGACCTGCTTATGTCTATCTTATGTTGGCGTGTTTTTAATATATTTTAGGATAAAATGAGTTAAAATGGCACATATCTTTTACAGAAATCAGCCTTGTACTTGATAACTTGGTGGGAGATAAATCTCAATATTGCTGCCACATTTCTAATTAGGCTTGTCTGCACATTCTTTTTAATTGAGGACTATTAATGCAACACTCAAATTTTATGAAGGTGTACATATGTATATATCATTGCATTTAAAATGTGTATAAAAAGATGTTTTCATGGCCCTCTAAAAATAAGCATTTTGTATTCCTTTTAGTTTTTATATAGAATTCAGTATTTCATTATATGAAATATTGGTAGAATTACCAACAATATGTTAAGTAAAAGGACACAAGTGAAACATTGCCACAATAAAAATAGTTACATTAGTTGCACTTGTGTCCTTGTATATTTTCTTTACATCAAACACACTGACATTTTATTATGCTAAGTGCATAGCAAGTATATATATATAAAATGTTGCACTGTGGGAGTTTAAGGGATTATACGATGTCAGGTTTGGTTCGTTCCAGGCAGTCATTCGTTGACTTTTCAAATTGGTGATTTCAGAATTATACAGGTACAGGGTTGTCATTTCTTAAAATGTAGCCACACATATACCAATGGGTTATCCACCAACATAGTTTATGTTGAGGTTAGGTTAACATTTGTTAACAAAATTCATAAATGGGAGAAATTTTTGCCAGTAGAAAAATACAGTATTAGAGACTGACCAGTTGACAACTCAGGAACGTTGAGCAGAATACTTGCAGTTATTTAATTAGGTTAAGTTGAGAAATAATGACACCTTTTATAAAAAAAATATAGTTTAAGTTTTCCTTGTTTCCAAGGTCAGTTAATTTTATTTATTTATTTTTTTTTTTGCCAAGTATTTGCCGATGACACCAAAATAGGCCGTCGAATTCATTCTGACGAGGACATTCGAGCACTCCAGGAAGATTTGAATAGACTGATGCAGTGGTCGGAGAAGTGGCAGATGCAGTTTAATATAGACAAATGCAAAGTTCTAAATGTTGGACAGGACAATAACCATGCCACATATAAACTAAATAATGTAGATCTTAATATTACGGATTGCGAAAAAGATTTAGGAGTTCTGGTTAGCAGTAATCTGAAACCAAGACAACAGTGCATAAGTGTTCGCAATAAAGCTAATAGAATCCTTGGCTTCATATCAAGAAGCATAAATAATAGGAGTCCTCAGGTTGTTCTTCAACTCTATACATCCTTGGTTAGGCCTCATTTAGATTATGCTGCACAGTTTTGGTCACCGTATTACAGAATGGATATAAATTCTCTGGAAAATGTACAAAGGAGGATGACAAAGTTGATCCCATGTATCAGAAACCTTCCCTATGAGGATAGACTAAGGCCCTGAAACTGCACTCTCTAAAAAGACGTAGAATTAGGGGGGATATGATTGAGGTGTATAAATGGAGACAGGAATAAATAAAGGGGATGTAAATAGTGTGCTGAAAATATCTAGCCTAGACAGGACTCGCAGCAATGGTTTTAAGTTGGAAAAATTCAGATTCAGGAAGGATATAGGAAAGTACTGGTTTGGTAATAGAGTTGTGGATGAGTGGAACAAACTCCCAAGTACCGTTATAGAGGCTAGAACGTTGTGTAGCTTTAAAAATAGGTTGGATAAATACATGAGTAGATGTGGGTGGGTGTGAGTTAGACCTGATAGCTTGTGCTACCAGGTCGGTTGCCGTGTTCCTCCCTTAAGTCAATGTGTGACCTGACCTGACTAGGTTGGGTGCATTGGCTTAAGCCGGTAGGAGACTTGGACCTGCCTCGCATGGGCCAGTAGGCCTTCTGCAGTGTTCCTTCGTTCTTATGTTCTTATGTTCTTAAATGGGTTCAGTATCTGTATACACAAAATTCACAATAAGACAAATGGCCTGATGGTGTGCTGTGCATCAGTCAGTTTTATTAGGTTGCCCCAAGGGTGCTAAATCATGATGAAAATACATCAGTCAATTGATGGATGAGTTACATCTGCAGTTGTTACAAGAGCTCTTGCTTATGTTTATATGTTTAGCTCTCAGTTAACTTGTAAAACTGTACGTAAAGCAAAATGTTAAACTTTTAGGCCTTGCACATAATTTGAAACTTTTGCAATGATTTTATATCTGAAATCAGGTCAAATTTAGCCTATGTCACCATGGTTGTTTAATATGTTTATAGATGGGGCTGCAGAAGTGAGTGCACAGGTGTTGTAAAGAGGTGTGGGATATATGGGATTGAAAGATTAAGTGAGAGTTGTCACAGTTGCTGTATGCTGATGACACTACTTATGGGAGATTATGAAGAGAGGTTGCAGAGGTTGGTGGATGAATTTGGGAGGGTGTGTAAAAGAAGGAAATTAAAAGTGAACATAAATTCAAATTCAAGCTTTTTATTTCTTTGCATAGTATACAATGTGTGATTTACACTTTATAAAATATTGTTTAGCACAAAAAAAGCCTCTAGCATGTCGAGCATTTCGGGCAGACTAATCATAATGCTTACAGGGCACACTACACAAATAACCTGCACATAGGAGAGAGGAGCTTATGACAACATTTCAGTCCGACTTGGACCATTTACAAAGTCACACTAACAGTCACTGTCTGGGTGAATCCTCCCTTGTACACAAATTTCCTTGTATGAATCTTAGTCCTGGCTTTGTCTCTGTAGATGCCTTCCTCTTCCTTTACATTGTAAAATGCTCCAAACTTCAGAACACCTGTGACTTAACCTGATTCTTGTTTTCCCCTTCTCTCTCCTCCCCTTTCCTCTTTCTCCTTTGGGTTTTCTTTCTTCTGCCTTGGGTATTTGGTCCATTTTTATTATTTTTTTCCCCTCTGTGTTGTTCCTACCCTTTGTGGGTCCCTAGCTCTCTTGCAGTGCTCCTCTTTCTCAGTCTTTGACTCCACTACTACTACCACCTCTACCACTACTTCTCATCTTCCTCTACTACCTCTCTTGCCCTGTCTCTGTCTGCTGGCTATATATACTCCCTCCTCCTCTCCGAGCGAACGAACGAACAAATTCAGGTAAGATCCCAATGGGATGAGCGGGGAAGACGGGACAGACGAAGAATAGCTCTGGAGAGGAGTGTTCTTAGTCGTAGAAATAGAGCCAGGGCTTAACCCAGCAGCTAAGGCGATTGTGAGGCAGACTTGAGAACAGGAATAGCAGGGACTGTTGCATCGAACTTGTGGTAGTTGAAATCTTGAATCTTGAGTAGCTGGCAGCAGGCTAGGTCACATCAAAGGGTAGAACACGTATGAGAGTTATAGGAGTAACTGAGGAGGCAGGTTAGCAATGGATCCATTTTCAGACTTTTTGAAGCTGCTCCTAGATAGGTCGTATAATTTAGCCTTGTTACTGAAGGTGAAACGTAGAGGCTTGATGAACTTGAGAACTTGGGTGAGTGTGAAGTGAAGCGGTGATTCACAGGCATACTTAAATGTTCCAGCACCAAGGCTTTTGTAGAGTTCAGTACAGGTCATGGTGTCAGTATTTGAAGGAGAAGTGCAGAAGGTAAGGTTTTCCCATGAGGGTGTACTGGAGTCGTCGCTACCTTCCTCTTCTGGAATGGATTCATTGGGCAAATCTACATTGGTGGTAGCAGGTGACTGAGGATCGACAGGAGCAGTAGTGGAGAGGTGTAATGGTTGTGTAACAGCAGGCTGGGAGAGGTGGGTGACGGTGGTTGAGGCAGCATGATCAACATTGTCGGTGGTGGAGGTGGTTATAGAAGTTACAGGAGCAGTTGGTCGGTCACGAGACAGGTCTGCAGGTGCAGTAAAGTTCAGGGCATTGGGAAGGATCTTGAGGATGTCTGCTGAAGGTGTGGAGTCCGTAAAATTGAAGACAGGCATGTTGTTCAGACGGAATAGTTCGTTAATAGTGGTGTTGAAAGTGCTGGGGTTTGCTGCATTTGCAAGGTGTGCATACACCATGCAGTACAGCACCTTGGAGGGAGCATTGTCGGGAAGTGGAGAGAGGAAGTTGCTGGGCGATGGTGCCTGTAGATTGGCGTGTAGAGTCTTGGTGGTGTCGGTTTGTGGTTTGGTTATTGCAGCATATCGGTGAATTGGATGTGTTCTTCAGAACTTTAGTTTTCTTCAATATGATTTCTTTCCTGAGTGGGCACTTAGCTGCAAGGGTATGATTATTACCCTTGCAGTTAAGACATGCTGGTGCTGTAGTAATGGTGCAGGATCTGAAATCATGTCCATCATTTCCACATTTTGAACAAAACTTCTTATCCTTGATGGGGCAGTCCTTGGTGGTGTGATTATAGGAGTAGCAGGTCCAGCAGTGGGAGATGTATGTGAAATGTTCTTGTTCTATACGACTTGGGCGAATGTGGTAATATGAGATAGCTAGACCGTCAGAGAGAGCTTGGGCAGCCATGGAGATATCTGAGAATGTAATCTTTAGCATAGATGAGGCATTAGGGATCTTGGAGATGCTGTCTACTGAGGCCCAGGTGTTTTGTTCCTCAATAGATGTCTTCAGTGCTTCAGTAGAGAGAGAGGTGACGATATTGTCCAGTCTTTTCACAAAGACCGAACGTTTCGACTTCAAGAATGGAGACGGGGATATAGTGAATTGTCGTGTTTGTAGGGTCCTGATTGAAGAGTCGTCCATTAGTTTTGTTGCTTCTGTGTCGTCTGTGCAGACAACAATGAAGGAGTCCTTCAGAGAGTGGATTGCCATAAATTTGACCTGCAGGCAGGTCCTAATGGTGGTAGCTAAAGCTAGCTTCTGGGAGTCATTTATTGCACCATTCACAGGCTTGATTTTCACACGATGCGACAGCACTGTGAAAAGGATGTGACGTTTGTAGAATATAAATTCCCCACCCCAGTGGGGGTCGAAGGGAGGCTTCTTGAGCGTAGAGCAACTGTGTGATCGGACAGAGCACAAGCAAGGAGCAGCGTGGTCATGTATATCGAGAGACTCCTCTCCTTTCTGTTAGTGTGACTTTGTAAATGGTCCAAGTCGGACTGAAACGTTGTTGTGAGCTCCTCTCTCCTATGTGTGGGTTATTTGTGTATTGTTCCAATCATGGTATTGTGCCTTTTTGTTATTTATTTGCTTACAGGGTACTTAAACCTATACATAGGTTATGGAGTAGTAAATTTTAATTATTCATTATTATACACTATTACAAAAGAGAGGTAGCCGACCCCTTATATAGCTTCCTTGGATGCTTCACTTTAATAGTTCCTTGATAATGTGAGTAGTCACGAAAGCGCTTGGAATTTCCCTATTCTTTCAGAGTGGTTGTTTTGCATATTTTGAAATCACCTGTTTACTGTGATCTTATTGCACACACACACACACACACACACACACACACACACACACACACACACACACACACACACACACACACACACACACACACACACACACACACACACACACACACACACACACACACACACACACACACACACACACACACACACACACACACACACACACACACACACACACACACACACACACACACACACACACACACACACACACACACACACACACACACACACACACACACACACACACACACACACACACACACACACACACACACACACACACACACACACACACACACACACACACACACACACACACACCACACACACACACACACACACACACACACACACACATATAAATAAAGTAGTAGGCACAATAATACACCTTCATATTTTGTGTATTAAGTAAGTTCAAACTCTTAACCCTTTGACTGTTTTCGACGTATAAATACGTCTTACGAGCCAATGTTTTTGACGTATATATACTCAATAATTCTAGCGGCTTCAAATCAAGCGGGAGAAAGCTGGTAGGCCCACATGTGAGAGAATGGGTCTGTGTGGTCAGTGTGCACCACATAAAAAAAATCCTGCAGCACACATTGCGTAATGAGAAAAAAAAACTGATCGTTTTTTTGGAATAAAATGCCGACTTTGAGGTGTATTTTCGTATAGTATTTATCGTTGTATTCGCATTTTCATGGTCTTAGGTGATAAAATGGAAAACATATTACAGAAATAGAGATGATTTTCATTACTTTGACGATGAAAACGACCTTGAAACTGAGCTCAGAGTAGCGGAAATGTTCGATTTTTACCAATGTTCAGGAGTAAATAAATCACACCACACGTCCAATACACGTCAACTGGGGAGTCTAATATTCTTTTACTAGTACACTGATATTATTTATACCATTTTTACAATAACGCAGTAGTCTGCATAACAGTAAATTTTGTATTTTTTTGTATGAATAAAAAATCAAAATAGAAAGCAATAATAATATAAGAGAGGCCTAGAGATGTGACTGATGAACTGAGCATATGTAATTTTAGTGCCACGAATGTCTACCTTGTTTATTCCGGACCCTATTTTGAAATTGGCCAAATTGCCAATTTCTGACCACCATATTGGGTAGTCCAAATTAGTAAATGGGAGGTTTCCTGTACTCAGCTGATAGATAAAATGGAGTTCTAAAGAAATAGCTATGAGTTTGGTCAACTGGAACAATGGAAATGGCTGAAAATAGGGCTCAAAGTCGGCGAAATCGCCGATACGCATGTGTCGCCGAGACCGCTAACTTCGCGGGAGCATAATTCCATGAGTTTTCGACCAAATTTCGAACTTTTGGTGTCATTACCATCGGGAAAAGATTCTCTATCATTTCATAAGAAAAACTAATTTTTTTTTTTTTCAAAAATTGAGCGACATAGAATGACAGTTTCAGAAAGGGGCCTGAAACAGTCAAAGGGTTAAAGAGTGGAGGGGTGTGTTGTCTGGTGCAGGAATTGATCACTGCACAACAGCTTTTTGTTGAGTTATTAATGGTTTAAGGTGATTGGTCGTGGTAGATCCCCAAGCACAAATATCATAGGTGAGGTAAAAGTAGGCAAGGGAGTGGTATAGTGTAAGTGGTGTGTTTGGGGAACATAGTACCTATCTTGGAAGGGATGCCTACTGTTTTTGATACCTTCTAGGCTGTATGTTAGATGTGGATCTGAAATTGAATTTGAATTTTGAGTACCACATAGGAAAGAGCAAGGTGATGAGAATAACAAAAAAAAAAAAAATAGGTAATGAAAGACTGGATGTCAGCATGGGGAAGAGAGAGTATGGAGGAAGTGAATGTTTACATATTTGGGAGCTCACTTGTCAGCAGATGGGTCTATGGAAGATGAAGTGAACCATAGAATTGATGAGGGGAGAAAGGTGAATGGTGCACTGAGGATTCTGTGGAGATGAAGGACCTTATCCATGGCAGTAGAGGGAAATGTAGGGGAATATAGTGGTACTAACACTTTTAAGTGGGTGTGAAGCATGGGTGGTGAATATTGCAACAAGGAGAAGGCTGCAGGCAGTGGAGATGTCATGTCTGAGGGCAATGTGCGGTGTGAATATTATGCAGAGAATTTGCAGCTTGGAAATTAGGAGGTGTGGGGGTTTCTAAATGTATTATCCAGAGGGATGAGGAAGGGTTATTAATGTGGTTCAGACATTTAGAGAGGATGGAACAAAATAGAATGACTTGGAGGGCATATAAATTTGTAGTAGGAGGGAGGTGGGATAGGGGTCATCCTAGGATAGGATGGAGGGAGGGGGTAAAAAAAAAAAAGGTTTTGTGCGCAATGTGCTTGGACATATAGCAGGCATGTGTGAGTGTGTTAGATAGGAGTGAGTGGAGACTAATGTTTTTGGGACTTGACGAGCTGTTAGAATGTAAGCAGGGTAATATTTTGTGAAGAGATTCAGGAAAACTGGTTAGCTGGACTTGAGTCCTGGAGGTGGGAAGTACAGTGCCCACACCTTGAAGGAGGGGGTTGGGATATTTGTTGTTTGGAGTGACATCTGAACTGTCGTATTTGCTTGCCTCTGCAGATAGTGATTATGTGTGAAAGATAGTGAAAGTGTTGAATGATGGTGAGTGTTTCTTCTTTTTGGGTCACCCTGCCTCAGTGGGAGACAGCCAGCGTGTTGAATTTTTTTATGTTTATTATTAATACATCAGCCATTTCCCACCAAGGCAGGGTGACCCAAAAAAGAAGAAACACTTTCATCATCATTCACTCCATCACTGTCTTGCCATAGGCATGCCTACACTACAGTTAAAAACTGCAACATATCAATACCCATCCTTATTTATTTGTATTTATTTATTTATATTTGTATAAACTGTTTATTGCCCACTGTATATAATCTAATATACATTGGGCCTAACTATAAGACTAATACTAGGTGGCTTCACTATTTGCTGTCACAACAAAGTAATGGATTGTGTAAAAGATATTGACAAAGCTTGGGATTAAGAGCTCACAGTTTACCATAGATATCAGTCACCCTTTTGACCAGATTATGAGAGTGTAGTATTAGGATTGTTTCTACATATACTCAGACTGTGCATTCCATAATGCTTACAAGATATCAGCATATTTTGACCAGTGATTTTTACCTATCGCCTGTTTCAATGTTTCAGGAGTTATTTTTCCTACTCAAGGCCAGGCCTCCCACGTCACCACTCAAAATGGATTTAAATTAGATAAGTTTAGATTTAGAAAGGACATAGGAAAGTATTGGTTTGGAAATAGGGTAGTTGATGAGTGGAACAGTCTACCTAGTTGGGTTATTGAGGCTAGGACTTTGGGTAGTTTCAAATTTAGGTTGGATAAGTACATGAGTGGGAGGGGTTGGATTTGAGTGGGACTTTCACATCAGAGCTTATTTCTTGGTGGCATTGAAAATTGGGTTGGGCAAATGTTTTGTTAGTGGGATGAATTGTAAAGGACCTGCCTAGTATGGGCCAACAGGCCTCCTGCAGTGTTCCTCCTTTCTTATGTTCTTATGTTCTTATTTGGCCAACCAGGCTTTTTCTGTTAGCGGCCTTCTGGCCCACATATCACAGCCTGGTTTATCTGGTACACTGTGGAGGTTCCAGCAATATTTCTAATGTGTGCTGGTACCATTTATACTGTTTATTAATACAGTATAAATGAACTTTGGAGGGAGGGGGGTAAAGGAGGTTTTGTGTGCGAGGGGCTTGGACTTTCAGCAAGCATGTGTGAGCGTGTTAGTGAATGGAGACAAATGGTTTTTGGGACCTGACGAGCTGTTGGAGTGTGAGCAGGGTAATATTTTGTGAAGGGATTAAGAGAAACTGGTTAGCTGGACTTGAGTCCTGGAGGTGGGAAGTACAATGTCTGCACTTTAAAGGAGGGGTTTGGGATATTGGCTGTTTGGAGTGACATCTAAACTGTCGTATCTGAGCACCTTTGCAAAGAGTGATTATGTATGAATGATGGTGAAAGTGTTGAATGATAGATGAAAGTTTTTTTCTTCCTTTTTGGGTCACCCTGCCTCAGTGGGAAATGGCTGACGTGTTAAAAAAAAAAAAATGAACTTTGAACTTTACAACCCTCTAGTAACAATTTTCCTAAATAATTACAGTTTATATATTAGTATATTGAGGGGTTTATGCTCTCTGTCATAAAAATTATCTTGAAAAGTTGCTCCATAATTTGTGTGCTAATATTTTCTGCTAAGCATGCCTCTTCACACTGACTTGAACTTTTGAGACATTTGTGTACTATGTGTACTAAATAATCCTGTAATAAAATGTCCTGTTGAAATAGATCAATGCTGCACCCCTGATGGCCATTTTTTAAGCAGTATTTTATCAAATTTACTGCAAACACACACTAATGCTGAATCAGGTAAGATAAACTGGCTTAGCTTGAGTATAAAATGTATGTGTAATATGTGTATTCTTTGAAGTTGTGTGAGAATTTCTTTTATTTAGAGCAATTTTATTAATTGACAGATGACTATGGATGAGCGGTATGTGGAGAGCATCTGGCAGCTGCTTAAAAATGCAATCCAGGAGATCCAAAAGAAAAACAATAGTGGCCTCAGCTTTGAGGAGTTGTACCGAAATGCATACACCATGGTTTTACACAAGCATGGAGAGAGACTATACTCAGGCCTCAGGGATGTTGTCACGCAACATTTGGAAAATAAGGTTACTAAGATTATTGTTGGCTCTAATAAAATTCAGTAATACATTCATTTTTCTTCATTTCTTTCTTTAGCCATTCAAAACCTGTCCTATGCAATTTTAAGTGCAGCTTACAATTTGTCAGTGTTCTGTTTAATTAATCGCGTACATAAATTTAGCAGTCACACTACAAATCTTGTTAATGGGTATCATATTCCTAATATTCCAGTTATTTTGGTTGCAGTATTTTACAGATAGTTCAGTAATTTTCTCTTATGTTCTTCACACTTTAGCTATTGAATAAATGTTTTTCGTTGTTCATCAGGTACGAACAGATGTACTGGCCTCCTTACAAAACAACTTTCTCCAAACCTTAAACCATGCATGGAATGATCATCAGACTTCTATGGTGATGATCAGGGACATCTTAATGTACATGGACCGAGTGTATGTTCAGCAAAATAATGTCGATAATGTCTACAACTTAGGGCTAATAATTTTTAGAGACCAGGTAATATATTTTTGTTGTCAAATGTTTTATAATGTACTGTGTATTAGCAAATCTTTGAGACTAAGCCGTTGTTAAAAGTTCGCTGTGTTGCAAGTTGAGGCTTTAGGTATCCATGATTCCATGTCTAACATTTAGTTATTTGGTAGCATTCAGCATGTAATAGATGAGGTATGAATTAAAATACACTATCATATTTAAGTTTTTATATACAGTATAGTAGATGAGATGTATAGCTGTCTTCCACTTGTCTTTCAGATTCAAAATATTATTTACAAAACAAAAGATTTTAAATTTCTTCTTAGATACAATTCCTAATTAAGGTGTGTAAATATTTAAAAATGTTGGAATATTACAGGTTGTGCGATACGGATGTATAAGAGATCATCTACGAGAAACACTACTTGATATGGTTATGAGGGAGCGCAGAGGTGAAGTAGTAGACAGACTAGCTATTAAAAATGCAGCTCAAATGCTCATAGTATTAGGCATTGAGTCTCGGGCTGTTTATGAAGAAGATTTTGAAAGACCCTTCCTTGCTCAGTCAGCTGAGTTTTATAGGGTGAGTTTCCAGTAATTTGGATTAGCATCTTTGGATAACATAACATTTCTCTTTTGAATGTTCTTCTGGATTATATTTTATTGGAAGAAATTTGTTATGAATTATTACATAGCAATAAGAGAAAATATTAAATATGGTCCGAATTATAAAAATAAATTTATGAAGCTGTGATGTTTCTGTAATAGATTATTGTTCTGATGTGTGATGTATAAATGTTTTTTTTATTAATAGGGAATTTTATTTATTTACATTGAATTACTAAAAGAAGTGAAGACTTTAATAATAATAATTCTTCTTTCAACAAACCAGCCGTATCCCACCGAGGCAGGGTGGCCCAAAAAGAAAAACAAAAGTTTCTCTCTTTAAATTTAGTAATTTATACAGGAGAAGGGGTTACTAGCCCCTTGCTCCCAGCATTTTAGTTGCCTCTTACAACACGCATGGCTTATGGAGGAAGAATTCTGCTCCACCTCCCCATGGAGATAAGAGGAAATAAACAAGAACAAGAATTAGAAAGAAAATAAAAGAAAACCCAGAGGGGTGTGTATATATATGCTTGTACACGCATGTGTAGTGTGACCTAAGTGTAAGTAGAAGTAGCAAGACATACCTGTAATCTTGCATATTTATGAGACAGACAAAAGACACCAGCAATCCTACCATCATGTAAAACAATTACAGGCTTTCGTTTTACACTCACTTGGCAGGACGGTAGTACGTCCCTGGGTGGTTGCTGTCTACCAACCTACTACCTTCACTAAATATTACCCTGCTCAAACTCCGTATTTAACTTAAATTTTTATTGAAGGGTTGGGTAGACAATGGCAGAAGCCCAGCCTTGGGCAAAATGTATTAAAGGTCCTCTGCTATCAGTGTCTTTATTGAAGGGGGTAGGGATGTTGCAGTTCAGTATGTCATCTGAATTATGATGCCTTACACTTCTGGCAAAGGAGCATTGAGCAAATGATAGTGAATGAGTTTACCTTTTTCATGGGGGGGTCACTCTTTCTTGACGGGAGATGGTCAATGAGGTAAAAAAAACTACTGAAATAAAGCAAAATAGCCATCAAATGGCTATTTTGGTATTTTATTTTCGGATAACATTCTACACTACTAATTTAACTCTTTCACTGTCACAACTGTATAATAAAGTGTGCTGACAATATCACAGTTTTTCAAAATAAAAAAAATTGTCTAAAATGGTAGAGAATCTTTTTGTGAAGGTAATGACCCCAAAAATGCAAATCTGATAGATAACTTGCGGAATTATGGAAGTGCCTAAACAGCGTTCTGGGTAATTCAAGCCACTTCTGAATCTGAGACATACCACAGTTATCTCTATTTCACTAGTGTGTTTTCTATTATGTCTGTTGATACCCAGAAACAGCCAATAAAACTATAAAAACCACCCTGGAAGTTGCTATATTAAGACATACACAATGTCAGAGGTTTCCTTTTTACCATCATGTACTACATGGGGCAGGATTTTTTTTTATATTGTGCACACTTGCTTCACGGACCCTTTCTCTCAAGTCTAGGCTAAACTTTACTTCTCATAGCTTATTTGAGGGTGCTGTGCTTAAAATCCAGATCTACATGAGCAACACTAGCATCAATAAAGTAGATCTCCCTACAAGACAGTGATAGGGTCTTGGAATCAGAGGTGGTGTTTTTTTATAAATTAAGCAAACAAAAGATTCAGCAGAAACAAAATATGGAAAAAAATAATAAGGTTGAGCTTGGAGATGGAGAGAGTGGTATTGCTATGAATGTAATTGATTTTTGTGTACTTAAAGAAAAAAATTGGTCTTACAATACAGATGGAGAGTCAAAAGTTCTTGGCAGAAAACAGTGCGTCAGTATATATCAAGAGAGTAGAAGCTCGGATAATGGAGGAGGCAGAGCGAGCTAAGCATTACCTCGATGAGTCGACCGAGAGGCGCATTGTTGAGGTTGTAGAAGAGGAGCTAATTAAGAAACATATGAAGACCATTGTGGAGGTAAGGACTTGATGTATCTTGGATATCCATTAGAAAATTTCTTGCTTATTCCCATTTACAATTTCAGTTTAATTTCATCTAATGTAATTTTAAACGTACAAAATTAATTTAATTTGCTAAATGTGAAGCCATTAGTTTACAGACTGGTTAATGATAAATATGAGGTATATTTACCTTGGGTAAATATGAGCAGAGATAATTTATGATTTAGAATAAAGAGAAAGGATCTTTATCAACTTAGCTTCAACCTAGATGCCTCACTTTTAAAGTACACTACATGCACTATTGTTTCAAGCTTTTAGAACTTAATCCAGTATAGCCTGAAATCCCCAATACACTTCTATAGATATTACTTTGTTCTCGCTAATTAGTATACGTTTTTTTTTTTTTTAACAAATCGGCCGTCTCCCACCGAGGCAGGGTGACCCAAAAAGAAAGAAAATCCCCAAAAAGAAAATGCTGTCATCATCATTCAACACTTTTACCTCACACATAATCACTGCTTTTGCAGAGGTGCTCAGAACACAACAGTTTAGAAGCATATACGTGTAAAGATACACAACATATCCCTCCAAACTGCTAATATCCCGAACCCCTCCTTTAAAGTGCAGGCATTGTACTTCCCATTTCCAGGACTCAAGTTCGGCTATATAAAAATAACCGGTTTCCCTGAATCCCTTCACTAAATATTACCCTGCTCACACTCCAACAGATCATCAGGTCCCAAATACCATTCGTCTCCATTCATTCCTATCGAACACACTCATGCACGCCTGCTGGAAGTCCAAGCCTCTCGCCCACAAAACCTCCCTTACCCCTTCCCTCCAACCTTTTCGAGGACGACCCCTACCCTGCCTTCCTTCCCCTACAGATTTAAATGCTCTCCATGTCATTCTACTTTGATCCATTCTCTCTAAATGACCAAACAACCTCAACAACCTGTCTTCAGCCCTCTGACTAATACTTTTATAAACTCCACACCTCCTAGTTTCCACACTCTGAATTTTCTGCATAATATTTACACCACACATTGCCCTTAGACAGGATATGATAACTAAAATGTATTACTTTAACTTTATTTGTTAGACTTAAAGCAATTGGAAAATATTCTTTTATACAGATGGAGAATTCTGGAGTTGTACATATGCTCAAGAATAACAAAACTGAAGATTTGGCATGCATGTATAAACTTATGTCACGCGTGTCAGATGGTTTGCGAGCAGTAGCCGAATGTGTATCTCAACATCTTAGAGAACAGGGCAAAGCTCTGGTAGCAGAAGAAGAAGGTGGCAAGAATGCTATCACATTTGTACAGGTTAGTGAATGATTTCATTCATCATTATATGATATAATTAGCATTTTCTGTTGATTTGCCTGTCAGGTATAAAACTTGTTACAGCTTGCTCATTTAAAAAAGAATGTATACAAAGGGGTGAAAGTTACTTTAGTAAATATGTACCAAATGGAAAGTAGAGAAAGGAAGCTGGAAAAACATTAGATGGAAAACAGCAGTCATTAAAATCTCTGTGGAGCTTCAGGAAAGAGAGAAAAGAGTAGTCTCTGTTTGCCACAATAACGCTAAAGATGTCAAAGGCAAGCCATATGTTAAATTTTTTTTAAATTTTCATTTGTGTCAACTACACAATGCCCTCATATTTTAGTCACTATTAGTAAGCTGTGTTTGTGTTTTGTTTTTGGCTTTGTGAAACTGTACAAATGCATATCATTTGCAGAATTTGTTGGACCTTAAGGACCGATTCGACCATTTCCTCCACAACTCCTTCAATAATGATAAAATATTCAAACAAATGATTGCAGCTGACTTTGAATACTTCCTCAATCTAAACAATAAGTCACCAGAGTACCTGTCATTGTTTATTGATGACAAACTCAAGAAAGGAGTTAAAGGAGTAAGTTCTTTAATTAAGCTCTATATGTTTCTTTTGCATGGTAAAAATATAGGTCAAATAAATTTAGTTATTTTGTATTTAGAGTATTTTTTTTTGTAAAATATATATAATTTCTCCTATAATTCTACCTAGTAAATTTTTAACATTGCCTCACTTATTTTTCTTTTGTATTCATCATTTTATGTTACACTTACTGCTGGTTATGAATGTAGTTTGTTTTTCCTTGGACATTAAAAGGCACTTATTCTACTTTGTAGTATATTGTATATCTGTTCAGTTACTTCATCCATAAAGGGTGTCAAACCCCTCAGATATGTGCTATATGTATTTACATAGGTAATTTTTCCATTAGAATTAGAGGTAAGACAGAATGTAGGATTGCGGATTAGCAAGGAAGTTTTAGAGTGGGTATGGGATGTGTAGATCAAGTGTTTACATTGAAGCATACATGTGAACAGTATTTAGATAAAGGTAGGGAAGTTTTCATTGCATTTGTGGATTTAGAAAAGGCATATGATAGAGTGAATAGGGGAGCAATGTGGCAGATGTTGCAAGTACATATATGGAATAGGTGGTAAGTTACTAAATGCTGTGAAGAGTTTTTATGAGGATAGTGAGGCTCAGGTTAGGGTGTGCAGAAGAGAGGGAGACTACTTCCCGGTAAAAGTAGGTCTTAGAAAGGGATGTGTAATGTCACCATGGTTGTTTAATATACAGTGGACCCCCGGTTAACGATATTTTTTCACTCCAGAAGTATGTTCAGGTGCCAGTACTGACCGAATTTGTTCCCATAAGGAATATTGTGAAGTAGATTAGTCCATTTCAGACCCCCAAACATACACGTACAAACGCACTTACATAAATACACTTACATAATTGGCAGCATTCGGAGGTGATCGTTATGCGGGGATCCATTGTATTTATAGATGGGGTCGTAAAAGAAGTAAATGCTAGGGTGTTCGGGAGAGGGGTGGGATTAAATTATGGGGAATCAAATACAAAATGGGAATTGACACAGTTACTTTTTGCTGATGATACTGTGCTTATGGGAGATTCTAAAGAAAAATTGCATAGGTTAGTGGATGAGTTTGGGAGTGTGTGTAAAGGTAGAAAGTTGAAAGTGAACATAGAAAAGAGTAATGTGATGAGGGTATCAAATGATTTAGATAAAGAAAAATTGGATATCAAATTGGGGAGGAGGAGTATGGAAGAAGTGAATGTTTTTAGATACTTGGGAGTTGACGTGTCGGCGGATGGATTTATGAAGGATGAGGTTAATCATAGAATTGATGAAGGAAAAAAGGTGAGTGGTGCGTTGAGCTATATGTGGAGTCAAAAAACGTTATCTATGGAGGCACATAAGGGAATGTATGAAAGTATAGTAGTACCAACACTCTTATATGGGTGTGAAGCTTGGGTTGTGAATGCAACAGCGAGAAGGCGGTTGGAGGCAGTGATGTCCTGTCTAAGGGCAATGTGTGGTGTAAATATTATGCAGAAAATTCGGAGTGTGGAAATTAGGAGAAGGTGTGGAGTTAATAAAAATTTTAGTCAGAGGGCTGAAGAGGGGTTGTTGAGGTGGTTTGGTAATTTAGAGAGAGTGGATCAAAGTAGAATGACATGGAGAGCGTATAAATTTGTAGGGGAAGGAAGGTGGGGTAGGGATCATCCTTGAAAAGGTTGGAGGGAGGGGGTAAAGGAGGTTTTGTGGGTGAGGGCCTTGGACTTCCAGCAGGCGTGCGTGAGCGTGTTAGATAGGAGTGAATGGAGACGAATGGTATTTGGGACCTGACGATCTGTTGGAGTGCGAGCAGGGTAATATTTAGTGAAGGGATTCAGGGAAACCGGTTATTTTTATATAGCCGGACTTGAGTCCTGGAAATGGGAAGTACAATGCCTGCACTTTAAAGGAGGGGTTTTAGGATATTAGCAGTTTGGAGGGATATGTTGTGCATCTTTATACGTATATGTTTCTAAACTGTTGTATTCTGAGCACCTCTGCAAAAACAGTGATTATGTGTGAGTGAGGTAAAAGTGTTGAATGATGATGAAAGTATTTTCTTTAGGGGGGATTTTCTTTCTTTTTGGGTCACCCTGCCTCGGTGGGAGATTTTAAAAAAAAAAATATTTCATTTTCAAGTACTGTGCTTATTTGCACCTCATAACTTCCACTGGGTAAACTGAATAGGAAACAGTAATTCTAAACTTTTGTGGGTCAAGAAAATGTTAACTAAAGGTATTTCTCCCAGTTTTTATTGCATTTTTATTTACTGTACATAAATAATTATACTTGCCATTAATTAATACTTACATTCATGCAGATGACTGAAGCAGAAATTGAGGTAGTATTAGATAAGACGATGGTGCTGTTCCGTTTCCTACAAGAGAAAGACGTGTTTGAGCGCTATTATAAGCAGCACTTGGCAAAACGTCTTCTCCTTCAAAAATCTGTTTCGGAGGACTCAGAGAAAACTATGATCTCCAAGCTGAAAACAGAGTGTGGATGTCAGTTCACTTCAAAGCTGGAGGGCATGTTTAAGGATGTGACTATTTCCAATACCATTAATGAGGAATTTAAACAACGAGTCAGCAGTGCTGGGGTAAGAATTGGCAAGTTTCGTATGAAATTAATTTCAAGATTCTCTCTCTCTCTCACTCTATTCCAACATTATAAATTTTCTGAACATTTTTCCAAACATGTTTGTATGTTATCTTGGCAAGACTCAGATGGAAAATGTGTGTTGAAGCAAATAAGTTTTTGTCAGAATAAGGGGTCATACCTCAATGTTTTTCTTTATTTTATTCTAATATGTAATTTACTGTACCTAATTTTATTGGTGAAAAAAATTAGACTTGCTTCTGCAACAAAAACTTCTTAAAAGGCTCTAATAAGAATGGCTATTTAAAGTAAAAGGGAGATTTCAGGCTAGACACATTTGTCCCTTATATAAATTTTTGCCACTGGTAAATCATAAATGAAATTGTGAGAAACTTATGCTGCACTAGTAACCTTTAAATTGTCTTTTAGATTTATAGTTGTAGAAATGCTAAAAAAAATTCAGCATAGCTTCGGGTAAAATTTGAATGAACTGAACTTATGTGGTATTATCTTTTATGGTGTCAACACCTGAAAAAACCATATAGATAAATAAAATAGAATACCCCCAAAGATGTACTGATTAATGTCTCTCAGAGCTAAGATGAATGATTAATAAGAATAGCTGAGATGGTCTTGTTGGCTGATGGGAGACATTATAACCCCATAAAAGAATGTGAGAAAATAGTGATGGAAGAGTTCTTAGCACCATGAAGAGGGAAAATGAGAAACCACAATTGTAAACATAGAAAAGCGGTGCAGAAGGATAACAAAAAGTGTACACCTACCATCCGACTTACGACCGAGTTCGGTTCCGAGAAGCCGGTCGTAAGTCGAAATGGTCGCAAGTAGAACTTTACTACTGAATATCAACAAAACATTTTTGTAATGACTATTTTATTGTTTTATTTTGGTATTTCATGTTTTACTTTACTTTTTATGTTGTTAGTACTGTATTTTATACTGTAAGGTTTAGGATAAACATTGTGTACAACACACACGTTGCCAGACTCACACATACACTCCCCCCCTCCCCCACCGACATCTCACTCCTTCACCTGATCCCTCCCCTCCCGCTTTCACTCTCCCCCTCCCCACCTCTCCCTCCTTCCCTCTCTCCCTCTCCCACTCACCCACTTGCTTCACTCCTTCCCACTCCCTCTCCCCACTACTCTCCCACATAGCTACAGTTCCTCCTCTACCTCCCCCCCCACACACTCTGACATACACAATACTAACCTAACATACAGAATTACATAGGTTTCCCACTCTGAGGCAATCAGGATAAAACAAAAATGGGTTGCCAGAGAGCAACAAGAAAAACCAAGGGACAGGAGGAGGAAACTGCAAAGGAAGATTGAGCAGCAGAGCTCACAAAAAGGGAACATGAATGGGAAAAGAAACTAGAAGAACTTAGCATGGGAATGGAAGAGAGGATAGACATGGAAAGCAGGAAGTGGGAGGTGCAAGTCAAAGCAGCAGAGGCCAGGATTCAGAGTTTAGAAGAGGAACTGAAAAATCTGAAACAGCCTAAAGAACTAAAGAACATTTTGGGATTGACAACAGAGACTGCTACCTCAGTCACAAATAAGGGGACTGTAGGGAAAGAAGGATCAAAACTGCATGTAGAAGCTCAATCAGTGGAGACTGTAGTAAATGAAAGAGCTAAGCTATATGTGGAGGCCCTAACAGACCACAGCAGAGCCCAGGGAAAGCCGAGAAGGGAAAATGACAGGCCACTGAGCCCAAGTACATTAGCTAGTGAAACTGAAGAAAGGAAAGCTGCAATGGAGGAAATCAAATTGAATGAGGGGATACACAAGGATATGCAGTGGGAGAATGAAAGGGTGAGGTCAATCTTTGTGTATGGGCTCCAGGAAGTTGAAGGGGAAACATATGAAGCAAGAAAACAAGGGGAAAAAAAAGTAATTGAAAGCATCATGAAAGCAATAGGAGAAGACGACATGACCCAGCTGGAAAATTTTCGGAGAATAGGGGGGTTTGTAAAAAAAGAACCCGGCCAGTGAAAGTGACCTTCAAGGCAGAATCGACTCGGAACAGGATCCTGCAGGAGAAAGCACGATTAAGGGACATGCCGGCATACAGGAAGGTGTGTCTCAACCGCGACAGAACACAAGCAGAAAGGCAGAAACAGAGAGAGATGGTACAAAGGCGAAAGGAGGAAAGAGAGGGGATGGAGAAGACAGACAGGAGATCCCAGACACGGGAAGATCAAATACAGCCTCCCTCACAACTTCCTATAGAAGCCTCCCAACCAGGTCAACCCCAGTGCAACCAAACACTCTAAACCAAAACACCCATGCCACATCCAATGCCCCCATCCACTGCATTACAAACTCCACCCCCACAGCAACCACCCATAGTTCCTTATCAGGTCTCCCACTTCCCCAACCCCAATACACCTCCCAGACCACAATCTTAGAAGAGAAGTTGAAGGTGTGGTATACAAATGCCGATGGAATAACAAATAAGTATGAGGAGTGGCACGAAAGAATCAAGGAGACATCCCCAGACATAATAGCACTCACAGAAACAAAACTCACCAGAATAACAACAGATTCAATCTTTTCATCCGGATATCAAATCCTCAGGAAAGACAGAGGGAGGAGAGGGGGAGGTGGAGTTGCATTGCTCATTAAAAACCAGTGGGGGTTTGAGAAAATGGAAGGAATGGATGGCACGGGCGAAAGGGACTACTTAGTAGGAACAATCCAGTCTGAGGGACATAAGGTGATAATTGCAGTAATGTACAACCCACCACAGAACTGCAGGAGGCCAAGAGAAGAATACGATGAGAGCAACAGAGCAATGGTCGACACACTAGCCGAGGTGGCCAGGAGAGCACACATGGGGGGAGCAAAGTTACTAGTTATGGGTGATTTCAATCACAAGGAGATTGACTGGGAAAACCTGGAGCCCCATGGGGGCCCCGAAACATGGAGAGCCAAGATGATGGATGTGGTACTGGAAAACCTCATGCATCAACATGTTAGAGACACTACCAGAGAGAGAGGAGGATGAACCAGCAAGACTGGACCTTGTATTCACCATGAGTAGTTCTGACATCGAGGATATCATGTATGAAAGGCCCCTGGGAGCTAGTGATCATGTGGTTCTGTGCTTCGACTACATAGTTGAGCTCCAAGTGGAGAGAGCAACAGGAATAGGGTGGGAAAAACCAAACTACAAAAGGGGGAACTACTCAGGCTTGAGGAACTTCTTTCAAGACATTCAGTGGGAGAGGGAACTGACAAGAAAACCAGTACAAGAAATGATGGACTATGTGGCAACAAAATGCAAGGAGGCAGAGGAGAGGTTTGTTCCCAAGGGAAACAGAAATAATGGGAAGAACAGAACGAGTTCTTGGTTCACCCAAAGGTTTAGGGAGGCAAAAACTAGGTGTACTAGAGAATGGAAAAGGTACAGAAGACAGAGAACTCAGGAAAATAAAGAGATTAGCCGAAGAGCCAGAAACGAATATGCACAGATAAGAAGGGAGGCTCAGCGGCAATACGAAAATGACATAGCATCGAAAGTCAAGACTGACCCGAAGCTGTTGTACAGCCACATCAGGAGGAAAACAACAGTCAAGGACCAGGTAATCAGACTGAGGAAGGGTGATGGGGAATTCACAAGAAACGACCGGAGAGTATGTCAGGAGCTCAACACAATATTTAAAGAAGTATTTACAGTGGAAACCGTAGGACTCCAGGAAATCAGAGCAGGGGGGTGCACCAGCAAGTGCTGGATGAGGTACATATAACCAAGGAGGAGGTGAAGAAGCTGCTATGCGAACTTGACACCTCAAAGGCGGTGGGACCTGACAACATCTCTCCGTGGGTCCTTAAAGAGGGAGCAGAGACATTGTGTGTACCATTAACAAAGATCTTCAACACATCATTTGAAACTGGGCAACTCCCCGAGGTATGGAAGATGGCAAATGTAGTCCCAATTTTTAAAAAGGGAGACAGACATGAGGCACTAAACTACAGACCTGTATCACTAACGTGTATAGTATGCAAGGTCATGGAAGAAGATCATCAGGAGGAGAGTGGTGGAGCACCTGGAAAGAAACAAGTGTATAATTGACAACCAGCATGGTTTCAGGGGGGGGGAAATCCTGTGTCACAAACCTATTAGAGTTTTATGACAAGGTGACAGAAGTAAGACAAGAGAGAGAGGGGTGGATCGACTGCATTTTTTTGGACTGCAAGAAGGCCTTCGACACAGTTCCTCACAAGAGGTTACTGCAAAAGCTAGAGGATCAGGCACACATAACAGGAAAGGCACTGCAATGGATAAGAGAATACCTTACAGGGAGGCAACAACGAGTCATGGTACTTGACGAGGTGTCAAAGTGGGCGCCTGTGACAAGCGGGGTTCCACAGGGGTCAGTCCTAGGACCTGTGCTGTTCTTGGTATATGTGAATGACATAACGGAAGGGATAGACTCAGAAGTGTCCTTGTTTGCGGACGATGTGAAGTTAATGAGAAGAATCAAATCGGATGAGGATCAGGCAGGACTACAAAGAGACCTGGATAGGCTACAAGCCTGGTCCAGCAACTGGCTCCTTGAGTTTAACCCCGCCAAATGCAAAGTCATGAAGATTGGGGAAGGGCAAAGAAGACCGCAGACACAATATAGTTTAAATGGCCAAAGTCTGCAAACCTCACTCAAGGAAAAAGATCTGGGGGTGAGTATAACACCGAGCATATCTCCTGAGGCGCACATCAATCAGATAACTGCTGCAGCATGCGGGCGCCTGGCAAACC